CCCCAGGGATGGCGAGGTGCAATTTCAATCCGCCGTGTGTACCCACTGTGCTGGGCCCCCCAGCAGGCCTCGAAAGTGGCGACAGTTTCACAGATCGCAGTCCCCCAGCTGGCACGCAGCGACGAGCGAGGCAAAAGGCAAGGGGGAAGAGAGGGGCGGGAAGGGGCGGGAAGGAAGGAAGGAAGTAAGGAAGGCGACGCGCGAGCAGTGCTATATTCAAAACGAGAACCCAACGCGGGAGGGTGGGGAATAATGTCACTACTGCTGCTACTACTATTGCTACTACTACTTTGCGGCGACTATTACTACTAATACTACTACTACTACGACGACTACGGCTACTACTACTTCTACTTCTACTTCTACTTCTACTACTACTACTACCACTACTACTACTACTACCACTACTACTACTACTACTGCTACTACTACTACTACTACTACTACTACTACTACTACTACTACTGCTACTACTGCTACTACTCCTACTACTACTCCTCCTACTCCTCCTCCTCCTACTACTACTACTACTACTGCTACTGCTACGACTACTACTACTAATACTGCTGCTGCTGCTGCTGCTGCTGCTACTACTACTACTACTACTACTACGACTACGACTACGACTACGACTACGACCACTCTTACCGTTACTACTGCTATTACTGCTACTACTGCTACTACTACTACTACTAGTACTACAACAACAACTATTAATACTACTACTGCTACTACTATTACTACTACTACTACTACTACTACTGCTGCTGCTGCTACTACTACTACTACTACTGCTACTACGACTACTACTACTACAACTGCGACGACGACGACGATTACTATAATATAATTTGAATAATACTACTACTATAACTACTACTACTACTGCTACTCTACTAATACTACTACTACTACTTATACTTCTACTACCACTACACACTACCACCTACTCCTACCTAATACTACTACTACACTAATACGACTACTAATACTTACTACTGATACTACGTACTTACTCCTACTTAACTCATACTTACTTCTACTTCTACTACTGCTACTGCTACTACTGACGACATACACCTACGACTAATACTACGACTTACTACTACTTACTACGACTACTAATACTGCGAATACAACCCTCCTCCTGCTACTTACGACTACAACTAAAACTACTACTATCTACTATTTACTACTACTACTACTACTACTACTATCTACTACTACTACTATAATACTACTACTAACATACTACTTACTACCTAAACACTAGTACTACTACTACTACTACTACTACTACTACTACTGCTACTACTACTACTACTACCACTACTACTACTACTACTACTACTATTACTACTACTTCTGCTAATAGTACTACAAGTACTACTAAGACTACCACTACTAGTAGTACCAGTTCTACTGCTAGAACTACTACGACTACTACTACTATTACTACTACTACTACTACTACTACAAATAATACTAGTACTACTAGTACTAGTAGTACTACTAGTACTACTAGTACTACTAGTATTACTAGTACGACTAGTAGTACTAGTACTACTATTGTCACTAGTATTACTACTATTACTACTACTACTACTACTACTACTACTACTACTAAAAATAATAGCAATGAAACATAAAAATACCTCTACTAATACCTCTACTACTACTACTACTACTACTACTACTATTACTACTACTACTACTACTACTACTACTACTACTGGTACTACTACTACTACTACTGCTACTACTACTACTATTACTACTACTACTACTACTATACTTACTACTTACTACTATACCTTACTACTACGACTACGACTACGACTACGACAAACGACTACGACTACGACGACTACTGCTACTACCACTTCTACTTACTTTAACTACTGACAAATACTACTACGGACTACTACTACGACTACGACTAGACTACTACTACTAATACTACTACTAATACTGCTACTACTACTATACTACTACTACTACGACGTATACTACGTATTACTACTACTACTACTACTACTTACTTACTTCTACTACTCCTATCTACTGCTACTATACTACTACTCTTACTACTACTATATACCTACTACTATTACTACTACTACTACTACTACTACTACTACTTTCACTACTACTACTGCTACTACTACTACTACTACCACTACTACTACTACTACTACTACTACTACTACTACTACTACTACTTCTACTACTACTACTACTACTACTACTACTACTACTACTACTACTACTACTTCTACTATCGACTGAAGGAAGGAACGTGGACGAGAAGAGGAGGAGGAGGAGGAGGAGAAGAGAGGAGAATGAAGAGGAGGAGAAGAGAGGAGGAGGAGGAGGAGGCGGAGGCGGAGGCGGAGGAGGAGGAGGAGGAGGCGGAGGCGGAGGAGGAGGAGGAGGAGGAGGAGGAGGAGGGAGGGAGGGGGGAGGAATCAAGCTAGGTGCGCTCGCGTCATATCTGACATCCTACCCCTCCCTCCCATCCCTTACCATGGCGTAGATCCCCTCTCTACTCGCACAGTCGGATGTCGAGCAGGGCAATGATCCCGAAAGGGTACGCGATGCATTGTAGAGCACGGCATGGCATGGCGTAGAAGAGCACCGCAAAGCGTAGTATGTCACAGCATGGCGTGGCGTGGCGTAGTGAAGAATTGCATCACAAAACTTTGCAACGCAAAGCATGGCATCGCACAGCGGCCCCGAACATAACATTGCATAGCATGGCGTTGAAGATCAAAGCGTAGCATGGCATAGCACGACGTGGCACTTAAGCACTGCATATCACAGCTTCAGCTGAAGGCATGGCATCGCGCAGCGGAACGCAACCTAGCATTACATTGCATGCCGTGGCATGGCACGGGAAATGACGCCAGCGCTGCAGCGGGAGCACGATTCGGAACGAGCGGAAGCGCGGAAATGAAGCCAACGCTGCAACGGGAGCACGATTCGGAACGAGCGGAAGCACGGAAATGAGGCCAGCGCTGCAGCGGGAGCACGATTCGGAACGAGCGGGGCCCGGAAATGAGGCCGGCGCCTCAGCGAGAGCAGCATTTTGAAAAAAAATGCAGGCGAAAAGCCAACTCCGGGGAATCCTGTGTGTAAAAAACAGTACGCGTCATCAGGGGAAGGAGGAGAGTAGTATTCATATTGAGTAATTGTAGAGGGGGGAGGAGGGAGGCGGGAGTACAAGGGAGAGGGAGGAGTAGAGGGGAGAGGGAGGAGGAAGTGTACCAGCTGTTGCCGCCCGCTTCGCGCTAGGCGACTACGCTCGGCGGAAACCGCGGCGGGCATCGCGCGCCACGAGCATTGCCGCCACGGCGCCGCAGGCGCTGAGTGGAGTGATGAAAAAACTGCATCTGCGCTGACCCACCCTCCCTGGCGTGCGGATCGTGCCGGGGTCGGCCCTGGAGGTGCCGCCGCCAGGAGGGCCTGGCGCGCATTCAAGGCACGCGCGGAGCTCTTCAAGTTTGTATTGATGCTGTGCTTCCTTCTTCAGTTTGAGTCCTCAGTGTCGAACATGCACTTTTGAGCGCTCCAGAGGGCTCCTTGGGGCTCTTGGGCGTTCCTGAGGGGTGCAGGGCAGGATTCCTTGGCTCCTTGGGGCTCCAAGGCTCGGATTCCCAGGACGCCCGATATAGACACGGAAAAAAAAATACGATGCCCAATAACACATGCTGTCCAAAGACGACAGCGGCCGCTGTTGGGCAGGCGGCCTTCTGTCTCGAAGGGGCACCGTCCTCGGCGATGCCGCAAGCGAGCTCCGTCCAAAATGAACAGGCTGTCGGTCTTGGTACCCATTTTTTCTGTACACGTTTCGATCGTCCCGACGCCAAGCACTCTTGCGCAGTCCTGGGGGCTGAGGGCCCCCTGGGGATCCCAGGGCTCCGATTCCCAGGCACTCTTGCGCGCTGCTGGGGCTGATGGGCTCTTTCGGGATCCCACGGCCCGGATTCCCAGACACTCTGCGCGCTCCTGGCTGGGGTTGAGGGGGCTCCTTGGGAATCCCGGGGCCCTGATTCCCAGGCACTCTTGCACGCTCCAGGGGCTGATGTTCTATTTGGTGGCGCGCAAAGGGGGGCATGGGGGAAGGAGGGGAGGCTTCTTAGAAGCAGCCTCCTTCTCATACATGGTCGTTAACGGGCTTTCTTACGGGCGCCGCGAATCGTCAAATCCCCCTCCTCGGGCCTCGGTGGGACGGACGGGGGTGGGACAGCGAAGGGTGTGCTCAGTGCTGCGAGAGACCGTCCATTAAACATGGGCTTGAACTTGAAATAGTTCAGGCCTCCTCACCCGCACAGCGCGCCGTCCGGGCAGGCGGCCATAGCAGCCACGAAGCTTTCGTGGGTTGCCGCGCGTGTGCTGGGGACCTCGCTGGTGCGCGAGGAGGCGGTGGAGGGTTGGGTGGACTACGCCGCCCACAACCTCGATTAATATTACTGGAACGAGCCGTCCCCGACGACGTCGACGACGAGGACTGCACCGAGCCCGTCGCGATGCCCCCGAAACCATGGGAGCAGAGTCCACTATCTTCAGCGGGCCGAGGACAAGAAGGGCCTCAGCGTACTGCTGGTGACGAAATTCACGAGCACGGCGGGCGAGCGCAGGTGAGTGGCGATCGATCCGACGGGAAGGCTCCAAGTGATCGACCTCTCGGTGGCGATGAAGGTTCGATCGACCAAAACTTCGCGGGCGTGGACCACAGGGCCTTTCCGGGTACGTCGGCTCGAGAGAAGGGCATGACGGTGGAAGCGGCGGATCGCGCGATAGCTTCAGGGGGCACGACGACGACGGCGACCATCACCCGAGATTACTATCGACGGAACCTCACGGGCAGGAAGGGCCACCGCTTCTTCCTTGGTCTGGCAGTCCGTCGCCCACTTCTTCAGGGGCGTCTACTCCGCGCGACGAGGGCGCGGCGATGTCCGACGGCGAGGAGGGGGCAGTCGAGAAGGAGATGGTCAAGCAGCTCATCGCGGTGGCGGAGAAGCTTTCGGCACTGGAAACCGTGAGATCGACGCCTCCACCTGCGCCGCCGCCTGCCGCGGCCCTCGCGAGCCTACCCTTCGGAACTCTGAGTGGGGGCTCGGAATCGGGAGCGGGCGCGGCACTGCGATCAGACGATGTCGCACCTTCTCGAACGCTTGGACAAGCACGAGGAGATTGTTCAGAGCGACAGCCACGCCGCTATGACAGGACCTCCCGCGAGTTCGCACGAGGCCGCGGCCCAGAATCCAGAGGGGGAGGCTCTCCCGCGCGCGGCCGGGGCGACTCTCTCAACGGAGAAGCGGAACGCGTTCTCCCCCAGTGTAGGCTGGACGCTCCCAGGCGGCATCAAGACGAGAATGGCTCCCTCCATGGCGGCGAGGCCATACGAGAACGGGTCGACGGCGGTGGCGGCGATCCGCGAGATGATTCGCCCCAAGCAGCTGAACGGCAACCGCATGGCCGAGCAGATGCCACTGATCAGCGCGATGATCGACTTGTCCATGATCGAGGCGCCCGCGGAATGGATCAACTACAAGACCACCGAGCTCGCCATGAGTCCATGAGGAGGTCGCACGGGATCGAGCGCGCGTTCGAGAACGCGAAGCAGCGCAGCGACTGGAAGCCCCCAAACAGCGCCAAGCAGGGGTGACATCGCGGGTCAACTGCACCGTGTCGCAGGGGCTCGACTCGTCCAAGAGCGACCAAGAGGGCGCGCTCGTCGATGGCGCGGAGAAGGAGCTTCGGGAGCGGCTGGGCCATCGCGCGCTGCTGGCAAAGTCCCTCGACGAACTGAACAACCACAAGAACGCCGCGGCCAGGAAGGGCGAGTGGCGGGCGAGAAGGGGCCCAAAGTGCAGGCGCAGGGCCCAGGCCCAGCGCGTTCTAGCCGCTGCTGTCTGGTTGGCAGCTGCCCATCCCATCTGCGCGCGACAGCGTTTCTTTGCATCATACCTTACCATGACTGTGAGAGGGGAATGCGCGTTCCAGTCAGATGGTCGAGTGAGAGACCCGCTGGAGGCGCTGCTGGCCCTGTGCCCCCCCGGGCCCACGACGTGGACATCGGGGCGGCCCAGATCACGGACAGCTTAGGAGAAGGCGATATGGGTGGGTGGGTGTGGGGGGGGGGGGGGCAAACGCAGTCATGGGGTCTGTCTGGCCACTGCGATCGACCTCGAAACGCTGCATGGGGCAATGCGAAGGAGTGGGCGACGTGCCGCGCACGAGCTGCCGAGAAGGAGCTTTGAGAGGGTGCCGCAGTGCCACGGCGAGGCCCACGACCTGAAAATGCGCGCCTCCGACGCCGAGCCAGCATTTGAGCGGCTGGCCTTGCGTGCCGCACCGGGGCCTCACGTGGCCTCGCGGCGCCGCCGCGCGGGGAACTCACGCCCTCCGCGAGCGGCAAGCGGGGGCCGAGCCGTGTGGCATCAAGCTGGCCTCAGAGAAGGCCAGGTACTACTTCGACAAGTCCCATGAGAAGATGGCCGCGCCGCCGAGCCAAAGCAAACGAGGCCGACATCGAGAACGCGCGCGCCCGCGCCGACCTAAGCCCCCGTCGCAGGTCGGCGCGGCTCGACTTCGCGGTTCGGCTCCGGGAGTCAGGGATGCTGGGATTTACCCGCGTTTGCAAGGCGGGGGTGGCCGTGTTCGCCGCGATGAAATAGGCTCGCGAGGACGGGGCGCGCGTGCCGAGGCCCGATCGGTAAATGAGGCGCGACAACAAGCGCTTCGTGAGCCCTCATCGCCTCAACGCGGGGCCCCCGATGGCGATGGCGGAGCTCGACCTGTCGGGCGAGGTGGCGCAGGGCAGAGCGTTGAAATCGACGCGGGGGGACGTGCCCGACTTTCACAAATGCCAGAGCTGCTCAGAACTCTGTCCGCGCATCGTACACGGTGGCATCTCGATCGACGAACTTTTGAAGGAGCCAAAGAAAGGAGCATGAGAGGTCCGTTCGCGGCGAAAGGAAGTCGGCACCTCTGCTTAAGCGCGATGCTGATGGGCTCCAGCTGGTCTCCAGCGATCTGCAGCGGAGCGCAAGAGGACATCATCTGCGATCTACCTGGCTTTCCGCGTCGCGGTCAGCTTCTGCGTGGTCTGGCGCCGCCCAGCTTTGCCGAGGTGGCCTTTTATCTACTGGGCCTTCAGGGGCGGCCTCGCGCTCCTGCCTCTGGCGAACGAGGGCGAGTCCGCGAGGGCAAGGGCGGCGAGGGGGGCGGCGCGCGCGAAGTTGGAGGAGGCGGGGTTGGACGCGCACAAGGACGTCGCGGGAGAAGCTTTGCCTCCGTCGCCGGGGAGGACGATCGCCGACTAGCCCTGCCGCTCGATGGCCCCCAGGGAGAAGATCCAAAGCGTAACTGGGGCGACGGGAGCTTCGCTGGCTCGAGGTCGTGCTGCGTCTCGGGAGTTATCGCGGATTCTGGGGTCCTGGATTTGGTCGGCTACGCGCGGGGCCCCTGCTCCAAATTCGCGACGAAATGCGAGGGGGGGCGACGCGAAGCGCGACCTGCCGGAGAGCGTGGCGAACGAGCTTCACGCGATGCATCACCTGGCCCCCCTGATGCACGCGCGCCTGGAGGCTCAGCGGAGCGAGGTCGCGTTCGCCGCGCACGCGAGCGAGACAGGCGTCGGCGCGGTAGAGACGAGTTTCTCGGGACGAGGTGATAGCAGAAGTGGGCAGGCAGTGGGGGGCCCAGCAGCCGCGCGAAACGGCGAGGGGCGACGAGGGGGAGCGGCTGCTGAGCGGGAACGCACTGGCGCGCTCGAAGCGCGGCATCCCACTGGTGACCAGCGAGAGCGAGGCGCCGCCTCAGCGCTGGATAGCCGATGCGTCAACTGGCTATCTGGCTACGGCGGCTTCGGGAAAGAGGTGCCGAGCGAGGGCGACGCTCCGGAGCCGCGCCGCGGCCTCCTGCGCCCGTCTTTCGTCGAAGGGGGGTGCAAGGACATCTCGTTTGTGCTGTTTTCTCGGTGCACGTGACGCCTCCCCCGGCCGCTTGGATTCGAAGCCTCCGCGGCCTCTCGCTCCAGCAGGTGCGGCGGGTCCGCGAAGAGAACGCTCTAACACAGGCGGCGATATCGATGTGCTTTGCGCGTCTAGCAGCTGGCGTGGGCTTCATTCCTTGAGAACCCCAGAACCTCCATGATCTGGGAGCTCCCCGAGATGGTCAGTTTGATGGCGCAGTCGGGCGTCTTCGTAGTGGGGATCGCGCACTGCGCCTTCGGAGCGAAGCGGATGAAGCCGACCCCCCTGCTCACGAACGTGGACGCGCTGAAAGAGCTGGCATGCCGCTGCTAGAGGGACCACCGACATCAACAGCTTCGAGGAGGGAGCTCCGATGGTCAACTGTGGACTCGCCTCGCCGCCGTCTGCCCGCCGCAGCTGGGCAGCGTGCACGTGGGGCTGGTGCGAAAGGCGATCGGCGCAAAGGAGCTCATCATTCACGACTGGCAAGTGCGCGAAGTTCGGAGTCCCCTGGACAGACCCAAGGCAGTCCTGGATCGCAGGGCAGAGAAATCGAAATGGCATCTATCATGGAAAAAGTTTGGCTGCACGATGACAACGTAAACGTGCAGAGGACGAGGGCAATTTCGTCTGTGGCAAGGCATCTCTGTGCTGCTCGTCCAAGTGCTGGTTCAGCCGTTTCGTGGCCCTATGCGACTCGATAATGACAGCCAGAGCGGGGATAAACATGAGAAGCTCGTCTCGGCCTTTGATGACACAGTTGGAACTTGTTTTTTATATTATCCGCGATAATGGGCGTGATCGGGGGGGGGGTGGCCCCCCACGATCACATCATGGCGGGTTTCGGCCTCCCGGGGCCTGTTTCGAGCCCCCGGGCCCTCGGGAGGAGGAAGATAAGGAAAAAGGAGAGGGAGCAGAGGAGGAAGAGGGGATTGAGGAGGAAAAGAAGGAGCAGCAGCAGAAGCTCGAGCAGGAAGAACAAGGAGGGCGAGCGATGACGAGGAGAAACGATCTGTAGCCACTTTGACTCAAGCCAATTTAGCTCTTCCCGAACGGGCCCCCAATGGACCCTAAAGATTCCTCCTCCCCCTCATCATCATCATCATCATCATCGTCACCACCTTCTTCGTCATCGTCACCCTTATGTAGTTATCATCACCATCATCACCGCCGCCATCACTGGGAAACCATTGAGATTCTCTGGAAACCCTGAAGATTCCTTGAGACATGTGGGCAAAGCAGCGTGACGTGATCAGGGGGGGAGGGGCGGGGGCGATCACGAGCGTTATCGCCCAGACCAAAAAAACAAGCTCTTGAGGAAGATCGGTCCTATCACTCCAGCGACGGGCGCGAGGCTGACTCTCAGGTGGATCCCCACGGCTATGAACCTAGCGGACGGCCCGTCACGAGGGGAAAAGCGCTGGCAGCGCAGAGGTCACCAAGACGAAGGCAGAGCAGAAGAATGCGGTCCTGGACGACGAGCACCCGTCCGAGAGGCTATCAGGCGACAAGATGGAGGCCAAGGGTATGCACGACGACTACGCCCAGGATTGACATCTCTAGGCCTGCTGTTCTTCACGGCGACACGGTGACACCCTCACAGTCAGCCAGGCAAGCCAGGAGATCCCAGCGGACGATTCGAACGAGTGGTACGACAGGATCGCGGACAGCGGCGACGAGGGCTTGGACCTACATTCAGGAGTGAGTTTGGCGGTGGGAGCTGCGGAGGCATTCAAGACAGAGAAAAAAGGTTCAGCCAAAAAGAAAGTCGCGAAAACTCACGCAGTCAGACGTCGTCGACCTTTCGTGCCCATGAAGAAGAACAACCCAAATGGCATTCGAGAACGCCGTCGCTGCTGAGAAGCACGTCGCCAGGAGCCCCCTCGGCGACGACAAGCTGGAGCGCCCCCTCAGTTATCTGGTCCATGCCGTGCAGGACGACACGAACAACGAGTATATCAAAAAGATGGAGCCCTTCCTGCGCGACCTGTACCTGAAGCGTCTCCCTTTCGCGAGCCCAGGCGAACGAGATATCACGGTGCCCGCCGAGCTGGACAACCAGTGCTTTGCGGAGCGGGCCCCCCTGAACGGAGGGTCAAACTCTAACGCGGCCTGATGCACATCGTCCCCGAATGGAGGTCTGAGATGCCGATTGAACTGAGAGCTCCACGCAGTTGGGAGAAGTACAAGGAGACGTCGGAGGAGGGCCCGGCTTCCGTCGAGGCTATCTGTGGCATAGCACGCGAGGCTGAAGGGATGGCTTTCCCGATTGCTCACGACTGTCACCTGCGAGAGCAGGACTGGCTGTAGCCGAGAGCCGAGGACGCTCACGTGAGCTCCAGAGACCCAAGAACCCCAGGACCATGAAGGTTGCGATATTGCTGGGACGACGGCATCGAGGAGAGAGTGCGAAGACCAGTCAGGGACAGGGACTGGCCATCGACGACCTGGGAATAGCCACGGTGCTGGCGAAGCGTGCGAGGTCCATCCCGAAGAGCGCGATCGTGTTCGACACTACCAGGTACAGTATGGCGGCCGATTTTGGCTGATAAAGATTTGAGCTGGATCGGACCGATGCACCAGCTGACACACAGTAGACCGAGCCACGGCATCCTGCACAAAAGGCGATCCATCGGCGAGATCCATGAGAGGCTGGTAAACGCAAAGCAAAAGCATGACCAGATACAGCAAGCCACACTCATTGATAGTTCACAATGCCAAGCTATCATCAGAAGTGACGCGACTAGGACGAGAAGCTAAACAAAATCGCATCCTCCCGAGGAGCCCGTGGAGGGCGGCCAGTTCGTCCGCCATGAAGATCGTCGGCTCCCACGGCTCCCAGGCCACGGTGCCCATGGACGAGTCGGTTTGAGACGTGACGGCTTCGCCGATGCAGCCCCAGCCTGCCGGCTGCCAAACCGTTCTCCTCCGTCCTCGTCCCCTCCTCGTCCTATGTAATATGCGAAAGTGTTTTATTCTCCCCCAAAGTTTTCAATCTTTTAGTGTGAGCCGAGGTTACGGGGTGGGGGTGTTCTTTTCAGGAGCTGGTCCTCGACGCTGTGAGTTTTCAGGTGCGAAATCCGGGACCCCCTGCGCGAGGCCCAGCAGCCGACGTCGGCGGAGTGAGAAACCTTCGGAGTGTGGCGCGCTGAGCGTGCCGCGGTGGGGCGAGGAACAACCATCTCTGGCCTGTCATCGCTCCGTCTTAGAAGAAGCATTCCCCCCTCCCTCTACACCCCCCTCTGCGCGTGGCCGATCCTTGGGGATCCCAGGGCCCAGATTCCCAGGCACTCCCGCGCGCTCCCGAGGCCTCCTCGCAGGGCTCCCCGCGCGACTTCTCCCGGAAGCCTCGAGGGACTCCTGCGCGCTCCAGGGGGCTCCTGCGCGCTCCTGGGGGCTGAATGGCCCCGATTCCCGGGCACTCCCGCGCGCTCCCGAGGCCCCCCTGCGAGGCTCCCCGCGCGACGTCTGCCCGAGAACTCAAGGGAGCGCGGCCAGAGGAGCCCAAACGCCTCCCACGTGTCCCGCGGGGGGCCACCACGGGGCCGTCCTGCGGGAGGGGTGCGGCGGAACGCAGTCAGTCTTGGGGCTGCTCTCGTCGTCGTCGTCGTCGTCGTCGTCGTCGCGAAAGTCGCCGTCGTCGCCGTCGTCGTCGTCGTCGTCGAGATGCTGGAGGTCTCGGCGCCGCGGCGTTCGCGCTGGATCCCCGAGGCTTTCTGGCCTCGGGGTGCTCTCCAGCAGCTGCGCCTCTCCGAGAGCGCCCCGTGCGGGTGCTGCCGGAAATGCCCATGGCCCAAGGCGCCCCCAGGATTTCTAAGGAGGCCCTCGCGGCCTCCGGAACCCCTCACGAGGCCCAGAAGGCCCCAGGGGCTCCAAAATGAAGCGAAAAGCTGGGGGCACCTTGGGCCGGGGGCACCTTGAGCAACCCGCGATCGTGATCGTGCTGGCCGCGACTCGGTCCCTCAAGGAGATGGCCGTGAGGACGGTCGTGAAGGCGAACGCAAAGGTCTGGTCGGGGAGGTATGGACCTGCTGACCCGCAGAAGGTGGCTGTGCTTTGGCCCCATGTTGGGGGCCCCCCATGTTGGGGGCCCCTCATGCCGTCCTGGAGGCCCAGCGGGCGAGCGAGCGACCACGTGGGTGGGCAAGCGTCCGGGCCAAGCTAGAGCCGGGTGGAGGAGGCCGTGGTCCCTGGGATATGCTGTGTGCTGTGCTCGACGTTGGTCGGCACGTGCTTTGGTGTGAATGTCTGGGGGGCCAAGGGGGCCCAAGTGGCCAAAACAACTAACAGCCTTTGGGTCGTTGTATAGTGTTCGCGTGTTCGCCAAGGCCCCCAAGCTCGCCCGACGACGGCCCCCAAGGAGCGCCCAAGACGCCCCCACAAGGGTCCCAGGAGACGTCCTCAACGGGAAGTCGGACCGAGGTTTGGAGTCCTCCACCTCAGTTCACCCCCAAGAGGCGCCCGAGAGGCTCCCAAGAGGCGCCCAAGAAGCGACCGAGGGCACCCAAGAAGCCTCCCGGGCATCCCCCAAGAGGCCTCGCCACGAGGCCTCCCGTAGGTCCCCCAAGAGGTCTCCCAAGAGGCCTCTGACAGGCCCTGGTCCACGACATGGGCACGATGGCAAAAGTGGCCGAATGTAAGATGACGCAATAACGCTCCAGGAGTCCTCAAGAAGCCCTGGCGAACCTGAGAACAGCCCACCCAGGCGCTTCCAGAAGACAAGGGGCGGCGGTGACTCGCCAGAGGTGTCTTCGATAAGTACATGCGGGATGGAACACAAACCTGTGGGGCCAGCCCGAGGGGGTGGAAGGCACGCCTCCTCCTCCTCCTCCTCCTCCTCCTCCTTCTATTTTCTCTTCTTCCACTACCCAGTCCTTCTGCCCCTCCTCCTCCTCCTCCTCCTACTCCTCCTCCTCCTCCTCCTCCTCCTTCTCCTCCACTCATGGGAGGCGGGCCCTGCATTGAGGCGTCCAGGCCCGTCCCTGGCCAGCCAGCCTCCCTGAAGCCGCCCCTGGCTCGCTGTGGCCTGCAGGCTTCTTGCCCTTGACCAAGCATCGAGAAAAGCTCGAGATGCGCTGCCGTCAGTTTTGCAGCAGAACGCTTCTGGCCCCGAGCCGACTGCGTATGAGCTGGCCGGTGTCAGAGAAACATACGAATTCTCAACGCGCTCCGAAACAAGAAAAGGATGTGCGTGGACTACACAGAGGGGAGTTTAAAAAAAAAAACTGACCGGTGGAAATTGCCGAAATAGAATCAGAAGGACTGGGGCTCCCAGATCGCACCGCATCGATGATGCGCTGGCGACGAAGGGATGCAGAATCCCACCAACCCCCTGTCTCCCGTTCGGGGACGGGGTGATCATCGCTGCTCCTTATGAACACAACACCCGCTTCCCGCTCGACCAGCGAGCGACCCGGAACAATGCCAACACCCTCCCTGTCATCCTTGCCGGGCGCCTGGCGATCACTTCACACTGGTTTTTGTCAGTGACGGCGGGGGTGCCGTCGTATTGCCCGCCGTGCGCGGGCCCGCCATCCCTGTCAAAGGCCGGCCGATGCGAAGTGTTTGCACGCGAACAAACACGCACACACAACACACACACATACACACAACACACACACATACACACACACGCACACACACACACGCACACACGCACACACGCACACACGCACACACGCACACACGCACACACGCACACAAGCACACACACACGCACACACGCACACACGCACACACGCACACACACACACTTCACAATGTTGGCAACCACGCCGTCACGATGCATTGGCTTTTCACAAGGATAGTGTGTGAGGGGTCGACGTATTGCCCGATGTGTGCTGAGACCTTTGCTGGCGCACCTGGCACACCCGGCGCGCGACGAGAATGTAATGCAGCTGAGCCGATAAGACCACGTTGCGCACTGGGCGCTTGTAGAGTCAGTGGCACATTTTGCGCACCAGGCACGTCTGGCACGCGTGGGTCCTGGGGCACCTCGCGCGCCTGGTGCGCGCGGAACACCGGACTCGCGCGGCGCACCTCGCCAGCGTCGCACATTTCGCCAGTGTCGCGTACATGGCTGGCGCCTGCATTGGCTCCCGCTGTTTGTCGATGGCGGCCCCTGCCAATGCTGAGACTCGGGTGCTACTTATTTCGCGGGAGGGCTGCGTTCCCGCTGGGAGTTTGAAGCGTTGTTCATTGATAAAGTCGTCGTCGTCGTCGACCTCCGCCCTCGTCCTTCGTTCCTCGGGTCGGACGAAAGAGGGGGGTAGCAAAGGGGGGGTTCACGAATCGGCTCACGTAGCTGACTTCACTGGCGCCCACTGGCGCCAGAAACGCCAATGCAGCGGGGCCGAAACCAGCTGCACGCAGCTGATTGCGAAATTCGTAATGGGCTTAATGACGCATGCTGTCCCTCGGCTGGGCTGAACGACATCTGTTGTCCCTCGATTCGCGTTGGAGCTTCCGCGGTATATCCTGGTGTTGTCTGGCGATGCCCAAAACAGTGCTAGGCCTCAACGAACCTTGCTTCTTTTCCGAGGATCGGGCCTGCCCGTCGGTATGGCGGCTATGTGGTCGCCGTCGCCGCCCCGTCACCGCCTCGTCGCCGCCCGTCGTCTGGCCGCTATGTGGTCGCCGTCGCCGCCCCGTCGCGTCGCCGTCTGTGCCTGCGTTGCTTTGCATTGCATTGCATTGAGATTCCCGAGAACCTCGCACGATCACGCGGGAGGGAGGAGGGGGGCACATGTTATCCTGCGTGGCGAAAAGCAAGGTTTCAGCCTCTGGCCAGCCGCCCGCCCGCTCAGCGGCGGGCAAAGAGATGCAGGGTGGGTGGGCGGGGGACAATTTTTAGCTCCAGCCCAGACGACTGCGGAGGGGAGAGGGGAGAGAGGGAGCGAAGACAGCGCTCGGAGGGGTAATCCATCCGTTTCAGGGAACCCAAAACAAAAACACGTTCTCGAGAACCTCGCACGATCACGAGGGAGGGAGGAGGGGGGCATATTGTATCCTGCGCGGCGAAAAGCAGGGGTTCAGCCTCGGGCCAGCCGCCCACTCTTAACCACCAGGAGGTACCACCTCCGCAAGAAAACCCCAACCCTCGAGTAGCGCACGCGGTATAGCCTTCTGTCACGAGATGTGTGAAAGGTGTGCCGACATGAGTCGGGAGGACTCCTGCGAACGTCGCCATTGGGGCCTTCCGTGGAGCTCCCTATGGGGCCACGAAGCGTGTGAGGTGTGTGGGCCGAAATGGGGCGGCGGTGCCATTCGAACTTTCCCACTGGGGCCTTCGGTGGAAGTCCCTATGAGGCCACGAAACGTGAGAAGGGTGTGCCGAAATTAAGCGGCAGTGCTATGCGGACGCTCCCGCTGGGGCCTTCAATAAAACTCCCTCTGGGGCCACGAACCGTGTGAGCAGTGCGCCGAAATGGAGCAGCGGTGTCATGCGGACGCCCCCACTGGGGTTTTCGGTGGAGCTCCCTATTGGGGCCACGACCCACGTGAGGGGTGTGCAAATTGGAGCGGCGGTGCCATGCGGACGCTCCCGATGGAACCTTCGGTGGAACGACCCGTGTGAAAGGTGTGCCAAACGGGGCGGATGTGCCATGCGGACGCTCCCGCTAGGGCCTTCGGTGGAGCTCCCTATGGGGCCACGAACCGTGTGAAAGGTGTGCCAACATGGGGCCGCGGTGCCGTGAGGACACTCCCGTTGGGGCCTCCGGTAGAACTCCATATGTGGCCACAAACTGTGTTATGGGCGTGCCAAAGTGGGGCGGCGGTGCCATGCGGACGCTCACGCTGGGGCCTTCGGTGGAACCCCCTTATGGGGCCACGAACCGTGTGAGAATTGTGCCACAATGGGGCTGCGGTGCCGTGAGGACACTCCCGTTGGAGCCTTCGGTAGAACTCCCTATGGGGCCACAAACCGTGTGAAAAATGTATCAAGTCGGGCGGCGGCGCCATGCGGACGCTCCCGCTGGGGCCTTCAATGGAGCTCCCTATGAGGCCACGAACCGTGTACGGGGTGTGCCAAAATGGGGCGGCGGCGCCATGCGGACGCTCCCGTTGGAATCTTCGGTGGAGCTGCTTATGAGGCCACGACCCGTGTGAAAAATGTGCCAAATGGAGCGGCTGTGCCATGCGGACGCTCCCGCTGGGGCCTTCGGTGAAGCTCCCTATGGGGCCACGAACCGTGTGAAAAGTGTGCCAAAATGGGGCGGCGGTGCCATGCGGACGCTCCCGCTGAAGCGTTCGGAAGAACCCCCTATGGGGGCCACGACCCGTGTGAAAAATTCGCCAAAATGGGGCGTCGGTGCCATGCAGACGCTCCCGCTGAAATCTTCGGTGGAACTCCCTATGGGGCCATGAACCGTGTGAAGGGTGTGCCAAAATGAAGCGGCGGTGCTATGCGGACGCTCCAGCTGGGGCCTTCGGTGGAACTCCCTATTGGGGCCATGAAACGTGTGAGGGGTGTGCCAAAATGGGGCGGTGGTGCTGCGGACGCTCCCGCTGGGGCCTTCGGTGGAACTCCCTATTGGGGCCACGAACCGTGCGAAGGCTGTGCCAAAATGGGGCGGCGGTGCCATGCGGACGCTCCCGCTGGGGCCTTCGGTGGAGTTCCCTATGGGGCCACTAACCATGCGAGGGGTGCGCCAAATGGGGCGGCGGTGCCATGCGGACGCTCCCACTGAAGCCTTCGTTGGAGCTCCCTATGGGGCCACGAACCACGTGAGGAATGTGCCAAAATGCGGGCGGCGGTGACGCATGCAACCGCTGCCACTTTGGCCTTCGGTGGAGCTCCCTGTGGTGCCACGGACAGTGTGAGGGGCGCGGCGCTGACGATGGCGATGGTGACGATCATGATGATGCGGATCATGACGATGGCGATGACGATGACGATGATGACGATGACGATGACGAGGCGGATGGGAGGAGGGAGGAGGGGGAGGAAGAAAGGGGGCAGCGGGAGGAGGTGAGACGCGGGGCGCTGTCTCTTCAAAACGAGGACCCAACACCACAGGATGATTGGGACATTTGCATTGCTTGCTTTGCGTTGCCACGCACTGCTTTACATTGATGTGTAACGAATTGTATTGCCTTGCGCCAGCTAGATTGCACCACCTTGACTGTACCACCTAGATCGCACTACAAATATTGCGACAAATCACTTTTTGGGGTCCACGCGGGCTAACATATTTGGATTTTCATGGAGTGATGTGGATGTACCTCGAATTGTCTGGGTGTACATCGCCTGCCCTTGCCCCCAATTCGTCTGACCCGATTCCCTCCTCGTCAGCGTCCACCTCCTTCTCAGCCTCCTCTTCGTCCCTCCTCCTCCTCGACAGCGCCCATCTCCTCTTCCTCGTCAGCGTCCTCCGCCTCCTCCTCATCCCAGCTCCTCCCTGCCCGCGTCACGACCCGACCTCCAGCAGTCTGTTCCGAACGCGATGAGAGGCGGAACGCTTTCCCACCTAACTTCCCTTGCATCGCTGATGGCCTCCAAACTGGCCACCAGAACGCCCACAGACGGCCCCAACGAAGGCCCCGGGGAAGGCCCCGGGGAGGGCCCCCAAAGGGGGCCCCGAGAGAGCCCCAAAGGCCTCCCTGATGCCCAGATGGCCCCCAAAGCGCCCAAAAATGGCCCCGAGGCCCGAGAGGTTGCGGTGGACGCTTGCTTCTACTCAGGCTATTCCCCCTGACTCCTCCACTGCGCGCTCTTACAATTCCCTGATGGCAGCTATTCGCCTACGCAGGGAATGTTTCCCAATTGGTTGGTGGGAACACGCCAAACGCCAACAACTCAGATTCCAAACCGCACCGCATTGCTGATTCATCCGCGGTGCGACCTTTTACGCTCGAGACCTGTGCGGGACGTTTGCGTTGCGCCCGCCACTGCAGCTTGCAACGGTCAGTAAGCGAATCGGGCTCATTTCCCCTTCGCCTGGAGTGCAATGCACGACTCACTCGCCACAAGACGCTCCCAAGGCCTTCCCAGAGCAACTCCCAGGACTCCTCCTCGCACTCCGCCCCAGTTCTGGAGCATCCGCATACGTAGGCATCCCGTTGCTGGAGCTCGAGGCAGGCTGCGCTGCCCGGCGAGGGAGGGAAAACGAGGGGAGACTTAGGCAGACTGTGACGAACGCGCAGGCAGGAGGCCCAGGCCAGCGCGACGAAGCAGGCGGGCGGGCAGCCAGGAGGGGACAAGAGGCACCAGACAAGGCATTCGGCAAGCAGGGATGCGGGGGGCGCAGAGAGCGATGCGGTGCGGTCTGGGAGCCCACCTTGCGCTGGCCTGGCTTAGGAGGCCGAGAGCTATCCGGTGGAAGGAGAAGGGCAGCCGCCTTGAAAGCGCTTGGAGGGTCGAAGCGGGCGGCAGGCAGCAGATGCCAAAGACGCCCGCTCGCTCCTTCGAGCCCCGTCAGTCGGCGACGCCGAAGGGCTTGGTTTGCACAGGGAGTGGTTTGCAGCCTGCACCCTCGCGGGCGGGCGAGGACCTCGACAAAGTTCTCCGCTGCGCCCCGAGGAGGCCCGGCGAGGGCAACGTCGAGCCCCCCCCAAGCCACACAACGGCGGCGATTGCAGACCACACCCCGGCGTAACCACACCCCTTGTAGTCGCCGAGTCTGGTCCTCAGTCCAAGAGCGCGTCGCGCGGGCCCTCGGGCCCCGGCCCCGTCCTTGCCACCTTGGCCTCAGCCGGGGGGCTGGGTTCAAGGCCCGCGGGCCCGTGGTGGTGGTCCGGGCCCCCGTCGTGGTGACGCGCGCCCCCCATCTCCAGGCTGCCCAGCAGCGTCTTGAACCCGAGCGGCCCACCCAACGGCGCTGGCCCGCGGTGGTGGTCCGGGCCCCCGTCGTGATGGCGTGCGCCCGCCATCTCCAGGTTGCCCAGCAGCGTCTTGAACTCGGAGGGGCTCAGGTGATCATCGCTGTCCGCGTCGGAGACTCTCAGCAGGCCCTGGTACTCGGCGTCGTTGACGCCGAACCGCTGCTTCAACCATGCCGCGGCGTCCCGCAGCTCCTTCCCCGCCACCTGCCCGTCGCCGTTCTCGTCGCTCTTCTTGAAGCCGGGCGGTGTCCAGTTGCCGCGCTGCATCAGCAGCCCGACCAGCGTGTGCATCTCGAGCGGCCGCACCTTGCCGTCGCCGTCCGCGTCAGCATGCCCGAAGAGCTCCTTGTACGTCGCCTCGTCCACGCCGAAGTGCCGGCGCAACTGGTCCTCCTCTGCGCCGCGCGGAGGCCCACCCAACGGCGCTGGCCCGCGGTGGTGGTCCGGGCCCCCGTCGTGATGGCGTGCGCCCGCCATCTCCAGGTTGCCCAGCAGCGTCTTGAACTCGGAGGGGCTCAGATGATCATCGCTGTCCGCGTCGGAGACTCTCAGCAGGCCCTGGTACTCGGCGTCGTTGACGCCGAACCGCTGCTTCAACCACCAGGCCGCGGCGTCCCGCAGCTCCTTCCCCGCCACCTGCCCGTCGCCGTTCTCGTCGCTCTTCTTGAAGCCGGGCGGTGTCCAGTTGCCGCGCTGCATCAGCAGCCCGACCAGCGTGTGCATCTCGAGCGGCCGCACCTTGCCGTCGCCGTCCGCGTCAGCATGCCCGAAGAGCTCCTTGTACGTCGCCTCGTCCACGCCGAAGTGCCGGCGCAACTGGTCCTCCTCTGCGCCGCGCGGAGGCCCACCCAACGGCGCTGGCCCGCGGTGGTGGTCCGGGCCCCCGTCGTGATGGCGTGCGCCCGCCATCTCCAGGTTGCCCAGCAGCGTCTTGAATTCGGAGGGGCTCAGGTGATCATCGCTGTCCGCGTCAGAGACTCTCAGCAGGCCCTGGTACTCGGCGTCGTTGACGCCGAACCGCTGCTTCAACCACCAGGCCGCGGCGTCCCGCAGCTCCTTCCCCGCCTTCCCCGCCAAGCCGGGCGGTGTCCAGTTGCCGCGCTGCATCAGCAGCCCGACCAACGTGTGCATCTCTTGCCGTCGCCGTCCGCGTCAGCATGCCCGAAGAGCTCCTTGTACGTCGCCTCGTCCACGCCGAAGTGCCGGCGCAACTGGTCCTCCTCTGCGCCGCGCGGAGGCCCACCCAACGGCGCTGGCCCGCGGTGGTGGTCCGGGCCCCCGTCGTGATGGCGTGCGCCCGCCATCTCCAGGTTGCCCAGCAGCGTCTTGAACTCGGAGGGGCTCAGGTGATCATCGCTGTCCGCGTCGGAGACTCTCAGCAGGCCCTGGTACTCGGCGTCGTTGACGCCGAACCGCTGCTTCAACCAGGCCGCGGCGTCCCGCAGCTCCTTCCCCGCCACCTGCCCGTCGCCGTTCTCGTCGCTCTTCTTGAAGCCGGGCGGTGTCCAGTTGCCGCGCTGCATCAGCAGCCCGACCAGCGTGTGCATCTCGAGCGGCCGCACCTTGCCGTCGCCGTCCGCGTCAGCATGCCCGAAGAGCTCCTTGTACGTCGCCTCGTCCACGCCGAAGTGCCGGCGCAACTGGTCCTCCTCTGCGCCGCGCGGAGGCCCACCCAACGGCGCTGGCCCGCGACGGTGGTCCGGGCCCCCGTCGTGATGGCGTGCGCCCGCCATCTCCAGGTTGCCCAGCAGCGTCTTGAACTCGGAGGGGCTCAGATGATCATCGCTGTCCGCGTCAGAGACTCTCAGCAAGCCCTGGTACTCGGCGTCGTTGACGCCGAACATCTGCTTCAACCAGGCCGCGGCGTCCCGCAGCTCCTTCCCTTCCACCTGCCCGTCGCCGTTCTCGTCGCTCTTCTTGAAGCCGGGCGGTGTCCAGTTGCCGCGCTGCATCAGCAGCCCGACCAGCGTGCGCATCTCGGGCGCATGCGGATGCACCTTGCCGTCGCCGTCCGCGTCAGCATGCTCGAAGAGCTCCTTGTACGTCGCCTCGTCCACGCCGAAGTGCTGGCGCATCTTGTCCTCTGAGGGGGAGAACGAGGGGGGTCCGTCTCAGGGGGAAGCATCGAGCTTCAATTGACGACACATCGCAGACAAATCGGCGATACGCCCTCGATAGAGAATCCGTACGGTCCTGGGCGGCGTGGGTCATCAGGCACCAATCAAAAGGGTCGATACATCCTCCCTGTGCCAGTCCCCACCTAACGGTTGCCCCCCGGAGATCGGGCCGCAACTCGGCCCTCCCGTGGCCGTTCGGGACGATCCGTGTACCCCAGGACCGCTCCTGGTGAGGCGCAGCGGCTGGAGAGCACCCCGAGGCTGGAAAGCCAACGAGAACCGACGAAAACGCCCGATAACCTCGAACCTCGAACTTCGAAACATCGAAACTTCGAACCTCCCCCCCTCCCCTTGCCAAGGAGGAACGAGGGGAGAGGAGGGAGGACGGGAGGAGGAGGAGGAGGAGGAGGAGGAGGAGGAGGAGGAGGAGGGGGAGGGGAGGGAAGGAGGAGGTTTTGCTGCCAGAACTACGCTGGCAATGCTTGCCTCACAGAGCCTCCTGTTAAATGGTGGGGCCGTGGGCACACTAGCAAGGTGCCTCCGCGGACCCCTCAGGTCAGTCGATGGCCATCATCCACAATCGTCCTGCTCTTCGTACACAAGGGAGTGGCACGCCTCTCCGAAGGAAAGCTTGACATTCTACAGGTGCTTGCATCGGCGCAGGAGCGAACGGCGATACGTGGAAGTGGGATGGCTGGGGCCCCACCGCAGGGCAAGATCAGATTGCAGCCCCGCTCGCTCGAAAATACACGGCACCAATCGCAGAAGGTGACCTGGCCCGCGCGGTGCAGCTCGTGGCCGAGGGCCGCACCGTGCAAGGCAGTAGAGATTTCCCCTTCCCCGCCACCCTACCCAAACTCCCCCCCCCTCCTCCGCTGGACCACCCTAGGCTGCCGCGAACAGGGGCGGCGGCGGAGAGACTGCCTGGCTCTGGGCGAGAGGGCGTGTCGGGAGCACACGGCGAACCTTCATGCACCTCTCTTCCAGGTCAGGGTGTGCGCTCGGGTCCCCGCCGGCGGTCCTTGCCTGCGCCTGCGAGGTCCCCTGAAGCCCACTGAGGGCCCCACCGTGGAGTCCCAAAAAATCGAGCGTGCGAGCGGTGACCCCAGCGACGAAAGCGGGCACGGCCTGGACCTCCCCCGACCGACCGGTCCAGGTCTGCGTTTCCCACGGGGAAATACCGTGCAAATCGGCTCCAGCTTTGGCATCCATGTCAACAAACTGGCTGCCTTCACAATCGAGATTGTTTTCCAACTTGACGGCCGCCCCCTCCTGGTCCAGAAAAACGTAGCCGCAGCCAGAACTCTTAAGCCCAAGCGGGCCCCTCGCAGAGCCACCCGTGTAGGCCCATTATGATGCCATTGCGCGTGCGCGCGCGCGCGTGTGTGTGTGTGTGTGTGTGTGTGTGTGTGTGTGTGTGTGTGTGTGTGTGTGTGTGTGTGTGTGTGTGTGTGTGTGTGTGTGTGTGTGTGTGTGTGTGTGTGTGTGTGTGTGTGTGTGTGTGTGTGTGTGTGTGTGTGTGTGTGTGTGTGTGTGTGTGTGTGTGTGTGTGTGTGTGTGTGTGTGTGTGTGTGTAGTGCGTGTGCGTGTGCGTGTGCGTGTGCGTGTGCGTGTGCGTGTGCGTGTGCGTGTGCGTGTGCGTGTGCGTGTGCGTGTGCGTGTGCGTGTGCGTGTGCGTGTGCGTGTGCGTGTGCGTGTGCGTGTGCGTGTGCGTGTGCGTGTGCGTGTGCGTGTGCGTGTGCGTGTGCGTGTGCGTGTGCGTGTGCGTGTGCGTGTGCGTGTGCGTGTGCGTGTGCGTGTGTGTGTGTGTGCGTGCGTGCGTGCGTGCGTGCGTGTGCGCTACGGGCGACGGCTGTCAGCGACAGATGGACTGAAAGGAACTTGTCATCTCTCCTGGTTTTCAACCCAACGGCAAAGCCATCGAGCTCGCGCAGCAAAGCACTGCACCGTCCTTGGATGAGCGCGCGTGCCCCAGGGCGTCGGCCCGCTGGAGGCGAAACAAAGCAATTTCAGCCAGATTGGCTTACGGAAGAACTCTGCAATCCCAGGCGCACATTTCACCGTGCGCGGCGGTGTCCTCCATAGGGAACACGACGATCTGTCCGCGACGCGGCCCCGCGGACAGGCCGTTCTGCATGACATTTCACCGTCGAGTCCGCGCGGCCTCTGCGCCAAAACTTCGCCCAAGACGGATGATCCCCGAGGCCCACACTTGGCATTTTTGGTCTGCGGGCCCTCTGCCTCTAGAGTGCGCCCCGTCATCAAGCGCTTGGATATGCATGAAGCGCAACAGAGCCAAATTCAAGCCCATCTGGCCAGGCTCGACGGAAAAACGACAGGCACTGCAAAGCTAACGCACGTGGCGTCATCAAAGATCGCTGCGCCGCGCCACTCTGCATCCGCCACACATCGCGAGCTGTCCACCGCAAAATACGACCCCACTCCAACTGTCACTCCTGCACTGTATGGATTCCCCATAACACTGGCCGATACCTCGACTAGTGGCCGCGCCTCTCAATGTCCTCACGGCTAACGCTAAGGGGATGGCCCCAGATCGCCACGTCTCCACAATCTCAACGACACCGTCAGCCCAGATGGCAACTTCTCCTTAAAAACGAGCGGTCGTGCACATCCGCGGCGGACACTCCACTGATACTTGGCAGGGCTGCACGCGTGTTCTGTTCAATCCCACCATTCGGGATCCTCACGCTGAGCAAAGAATGCAATCGTCTCTGGGGGGCGATGATGCAATGCTGAGGGGCGGAAGGGATGTTCGAAAGGAACCACCATCAACCACGTAAGTATCAACAACTGCAAGGGACAACGAGAAACACAATCCAAAAGAGACTCCCGAAATTCGGGATGTCAAGATGCGAAATCCCGGCGCGGCTTCCAAATGACGTCGATTCAGGCAGCCTTGAAATCCCGGAAGATAAGGCCGATCTTCTGGTCACTGGTCTTCAACAACTTGTTGACGCTGTGGCGCTTGAAGATCTCCTCCGCGGCCTCCAGAATATCCCCGTGCTTCCACGCCCCCCTCGAAGTATCCGCGACGCGCGAACGCGACCCACCCGACAACTCAAACTTGCGATTGAACTTCGTCTCCACCAAATACCACCTGCAGCGAGGAGAGGTCCTTGCTCCTGCCCCGAAGATGGCCCGGGCGCGCTCGCCGACGCGCTCGCGCCGTTTGGCACGCCAGCCACGCCAGCGTCGGGCCCGGCCCCCACTCTTGGCGGCCGCGGCGGGGAGAAACCCGCCGCCTGGAGCGGGGCCGCGACCTGCTGCTGCAGCGACTGCTGGCACGACGACGCCTCTGCCATGACCGAGATCTCCCCTTGGCGTCGAAGAGCCTTGTATTATCCTCCCATGTCTTCTCCTCGAGGAATCGAGGAACTGGCGTTGATCACCGTCGCGCTTGGCAAGGCACTTGCGCGGCGCGCCCGATCCGACCGCGTCTGGCGGCCGCCGTCGGATGACGAACTGGGAGGGTTACGACGACGGCGGCGGCGGTCTCTGTCTCGATCGCGATCGCGCGGCCGACCGCGAGTCCGCCGCTGCCGCCGAGGACCACCGCGGCCACTTCCCCGCCAAGGCTCCCGCCGCTGGCTCTGGCCCGCCGGATGCCAGCGCCGCCGACGTCGCCCGACCCAAATATCGACGCGGCACCGGCGGCGTCGAAGCTGCGACGTCATAGACTGTCGCGCCGGGCGCGCGGCCGCGGAATTGAGCGGGGACTGAGCAGGAGCGCGAAGGGCCCACGGCGGGCGTCCATGTAGGTGCAGATCGAGAGGGAACTCCAGGATCCCAAGACTCGCAGCCAAACAACCCTAGACACCGATACCCGGCCTCTGTCCCCATCGGCATGCCTCGCAACGTTCCGGGCGATATCGGCGGGGCACCTGGCCAGAGGATAACGTGAGATTTGGCCTCGGGGCGCGGAGAGGAAACTCCCACTCGGGCGCGCAGCCGCCCCCGATTTGGTCTTCATGGACGAACGCGACCGTGAAACTGCGAACTCTGGGACGCAAGTCCAGCTGCTCGAAGACGCCAAGTCAGCCCAACCATTGCCGAGCCAATCCTGGATACCCAATTTAAGCTCGATAGCCTGGGCCACGGATATGCGCGATGGAATCCATCCAAAAGACGGCGGCCTCCTGTTCTGGCAGGGCTCTCCAGGGGGCGGCGTGGCGAGCCGAGGCGGACGCGTCACCAGGGCTCCACCTTTGCCCTTCCCCCACAAAACTCAAATGGTCTGAGGAAAGACAGGTGACCTGAAGGGAGAGGCAGGTGGCGACCAGTCCAGCATATCCCTCAGCCCTGGGCACAGTCTGCACCCCTGGAAGAGACCCGAACATCGCCTTACAGGGCCGTCCGTCGTCTCGCAGCTGGACTACAGCCCGCGAGCATCCGGCAATCTCGGAAGGAGTACCCACGCCGAAATCACCGCCATCAATATGCATACGGCCGCCCCAGGGCAGCTCAGCATCTCCCTAATGGTGCACGACGTCGGGGCACATGGGCGGAGTCTCAGCAGGAGGGGGCCTGAGAGGGATAGCACGCGCAAGCCTCAGGGCCGCATGGGGCTCATCCCGGGCGGTCTGCAGGGCCAGCTGAACTAGACGCTCGCGGGTCTCGACGATGGCCTCTGGCGGCCGCGCCGCATGCAGGGCGGGATCTAAGAGGGCAGGGCAGTTATACCAACGATGACCGCGGGTCTCTCGCCTCGCTCCGCACGCCGAGCATCGACCATCAGAAATCAACCCCTTCTCAATTTCTCTGGCGATGCCACATCGCATCAGTCCAGACGCGCCGCGGCGAGCCGCGTTCGGAAGGCTCCCGAACGGCCTTCTCCGCGCACCGCCGAATGCCGCGGTGCCAGAACTGCTCGCCGCTGTGCCCCTCGACGCGGCTCTCGGCCCGCGCCGACAGCCCGCGCGCAACCCCCTGGACGACTTGATCGC